GAGAGAGAGAGAGAGACGCATCACGGAGAGGATCTTCTTCGTGGGAGGATGGAAGTCATGCCACGTGCCTTCGATCTTCTCGACGAGAAATTTCGATCTTCCAACAGCCTCGTAATAAAGCAATGTCATCTCCATTATTTCATTAAGCAGAGATTTTCAGAACGAATAAAAAAAATATGATAATACTTATGAATAAAAAAAAATTACAATAGGTAAAATAGCGGAATGTCTTTTCTATTGTTGAACAAGGAAATTTTTACTTGTCATTTTGCTGGATATATTTCGTTGATATCATTCGCTTTCTCCGCGCGGCGATATATGTGCATCGTTTTTTATCTTTATCTTTATCTAACTAAACATTGGACAACAATTATGCGCGCGCGTGCATGTTAGTTTATTATATAATATCCCATTATACTATTATCACTGCACGCGTATGCGTACGCACGCGCGTGCAGAGATCCTATCGAACTTTCTAATACGCGTATCACGTTATATCACGAATGTAAGGATGTATGGAATGTGTCGGAGATTGTACGTTATATTGGAATACACTCGTTTGTATAATTGTTTACGTTCGCAATTAATAACGCACAATGTGATCGTCGTAAGATAAGTCGGACGATTAATACGCGAGATTCGTTATCGTCAAATTAACCAATCGGCACGTCAGCTTGTATTATTAATAAAATTAATGTTAACTTTTTTTATAGATTCTCTTTCGTTCTTCATTAGTTGCAAATTTTAGAGATAAACAAATAATCTTTAATTAAGAGAAGAAGAACTCCACTATTAATAAATAATTATTAATAAATAACAATAAATCATTTATTAATCATTATTAATAAATATTAATAATAATTAAATTAGATTGAAATAAATAAGAAAAAAAATGTGAGCAGATTAATTTCCATTTATATTGTTCAGGAGTATTCCCAACATTCCTAAGGAAAAAAAAAAAAAAAAAAACAGCTATTCTTTCTTGCTTGGCTGGATAAAAAAGATAAAAATTTATCGAGAAGAGCGAATTTTAACGACACGTTCAGCGATTTAATAAAAGTCTGATTGCACAAAAAGTATAATTCCATTTGTAAGATCGTTCCGAGCAATGTCGTAATGCTGAAATAAAAAAACTGTGAAATTCGCTAAAGGTCATTATTAATCCTGAAATCGAGGCTTTGGGACATCTATAAATAATTAGCCGGGTTAGTGCATCGTTCCGTGGCGGCGACGAAGACGCCACGTCAGATCGTGACTCTACCTTTTTGCCGCGGAGCATCTTCTCAAGGCGCGATATTATTGTATAATCGATTGTGCACGACGATATTACGGACGTGCGCAGTCCGACGTAAAGAAGATGAGCGATCATTCCGGATAAACAGATGCGAGCCGTCCGTCTTGCGTCGGTGTTACGCAAAGATCCTCAGCGCATCACGCGTCGCGTTCGTACAAGCACACTTCGGAGATGACACTTGATCCCTATCATCCGATCCTAACAATTAATAACTTGGTGGCAATTTCACTAATGGCTTCGACAAGGATCGTTCCCACAAGATATCAGAAATACATAATTTCGCGATTAGCTTGAGATATTACGATTAAAAATAGCGAGGAAAGTTTATGGGAAGAAGAATTTTGCTGATGAATCTAAAAATTTCATCTCAAATGTAAATTTTTGAAAATAATTTTGTCGAACCATAAAAATAATTATGTAAAATGTTCAACTTAATTGCTGAGATACCAAAAATCTTTGCAACATTATTATTATTATATTTAAATGTTACATGATAATTTTGATGGCCCGAAAAAAATCATTTCAACTATATATCCAGCCGAACTTTTACATTCAGCAAATATATTTCTTTTCGTGTAGGAATTTAAAATTTCTTTTTAAAAAGGAGACGTGTGCCTCGAGGTTTTCCGATTAGACGAAGAAACCAAGGGAGGAGGTTTTCGTGTTTATGCGTCAGGGAAATTGCCTGTCTCGAAGAAATCGCATCGCGATTTTAACACAAGTTTCCCGAAAAGTTTCCGTCCGTCAGTCCCTGAAAAAGGGAAAAGGACGAGGAGAACGTCGGCGGAGGATGCCGGCGACGTTGCTTTTCAACGATGAGGAACTCGCGCACGCACACACACACACACACACACACACACACACACACACACACACACACACGCACGCACGCACGCACACACACACGGTCGAGAATTTCGCAAGAATCCTGCTGGACCGCCGCGTCGCGCGCGAGGTCGTCGCCATTGCCGGCTAAAGGCTCATCTTGCGTAATATCACTGCCGCGAGCACGATGGCACGGATCCTAAATGCCACCACACTCCGTCGGCGGAGGGACGGGGTCTTGTACACCGGCTGCGCGAATGCATTAGACGACGACGAGGTGAAGTCGCATGGCACAGTGTACCTCTGATCTATCCGCTCCCGGTAGGGGAACCGATCCACAGCTGGCCTGTCCAGGCTGTTGAATTTACGACGAGGCGGCAAAACAAATCGAGAAAAGCCATCCTTGATCGATAGTCCCCCTTTACGATTTCTTGGATTCCACTGGTAATCGTCATCTTGCTAATTATAATGTAAAAATAGCACTCCCAACGGCGGAGATTATTTAATGCCAAACGAGCGATAAAACGGGCTTTATTACTTAAAAATCTTTCCGTTCTCCATCAGTTTCAAATTGCGCTAATCTCTGTTGCAAAATTAAATTAAAATTAAAATTAAAATTAGAATTAAATTAAAATGA